TCTCTGTGAGGGGGTGAGTGGAAGGGAGGAGTGGGGGCGAACGATTAGGTTGGCAGTCTCTGTATGTTGCGCACCATACAAATTTGGAAAGACATTCCATTTATGGACTTCTCCCATATGTCTCTGTAAGGAGGTGCATGGAAGAGAGGAGTGGGGCCAAGAGAATCAGGTCAGCCTGCTCTGTCCGCTATGGGAAGCTGCAGGGTGTTTTTGAGAATTCTCAAAAACACCCTGAGGAAGGGGGGGGGTGCATGGAAGGGAGGAGTGGAACCGAGAGAATCTGGTCAGCCAGCTCTGTCCGCTATGGGATGCATGCACCAATTTGGAAAACAGACGATTTTTGAGTCGACTAAAGAATTGTCTGCAGGGTATTTTTGAAAATTCTCAAAAATACCCTGGGATGGGATGGGATGCACCAATTTCGAGCACCTCCCAGTACAGATGGAAAACAGATGGAATAAGGTGAAAAGAAGAAAAGGGAAGAACAATGGGAGGCGAATCGCCTGCTCCATCCATCCACCCACCCGGGAGTTAGATTAAACTCAAGACCATCCCAGCGCCCCCATCAAGACCACCACCACAACTCCCCATCAAGAGGTTCACAATGGCTTCTCACCTGTACTTCTTCCCACTCACCTGTACTTCTTCCCACTCACTGCTGTTCATCAAGTCACTGTTTCTTCCCACTCACCTGTACTTCTTGACAACTGGCGTCTTGCCCCCGTGCACCCACATCTTGATCAGATACTCGTAGAACTGATGAGAGAGAAGAGGAAAGAAGGGTGGGGAAGAATGGACAAGGAGGGGACAAGGGACTCAGTCTTGCCTCCGTGCACCCACAACTTGATCAGATACTCGTAGAAGCTGATGATGAGAGAGAAGAGGAAAGAAGGGTGGGGAAGAATGGACAAGGAGGGGACAAGGGACTCAGTCTTGCCTCCGTGCACCCACAACTTGATCAGATACTCGTAGAAGCTGATGAGAGAGAAGAGGAAAGAAGGGTGGGAAGAATGGACAAGGAGGGGACAAGGGACTCAGTCTTGCCTCCGTGCCACAACTTGATCAGATACTCGTAGAAGCTGATGAGAGAGAAGAGGAAAGAAGGGTGGGGAAGAAGGACGAGGGGGGGACACGGGACTCAGTCTGCCCCCATGCAAGCACAACTTGATCAGATACTCGTAGAAACTGGGAGAGGGCAGGGAAGAGGGCAGGGAAGAGGGCAGGGAAGAGTGCAGGAAAGAGGGCAGGGAAGAGGGCAGGGAAGAGGGCAGGGAAGAGGGCAGGGAAGAGGGCAGGAAGAGGGCAGGAAGAGGGCAGGGAAGAGGGCAGGGAAGAGGGCAGGGAAGAGGGCAGGGAAGAGGGCAGGGAAGAGGCAGGGAAGAGGGCGAAGAGGGCAGGGAGGGCAGGGAAGAGGGCACGGAAGAGGGCACGGAAGAGGGCAGGGAAGAGGGCAGGGAAGAGGGCAGGGAAGAGGGCAGGGAAGAGGGCAGGGAAGAGGGCAGGGAAGAGGGCAGGGAGAGGGCAGGAAGAGGGCAGGGAAAGAAGGCAGGGAAGAGGGCAGGGAAGAGGGCAGGAAGAGGGCAGGGAAGAGGGCACGGAAGAGGGCAGGGAAGAGGGCTCACCTGTCCCCCATGGACCCAAACGTGATGTGGCTGCTGGTGGGCTCCCTGCTGTCAATACTGATGAACATGGGCACGAGGCCGTGACAGGTACTCGGAGGCCAGTCCAGGCTAGTCCAGGCCAGGCCAGGGCATGGCGGTTACATGGGGTTATGCCAGATGCACGAAGCTACAGCAACTCATGCTCCCGTCTCACCTGTCTCCCATGGACCCGAACGTGATGTGGCTGCTGGTGGGCTCCCCGCTGTCAATGGTGATGAACAGGGGCACCAGACCGTGGCAGACAGGTGCTCTAGCCTCCGGGGCAGGCATGCTTTGACCCAGGCGAATGAGGCAGTGGAAGGTGAATGAGGCCATGACATGCCAGATGCACGAGGCTCACCTGTCGCCCATGGATCCGAAGGTGATGTGGCTACTGGTGGGCTCCCCGCTGTCGATGCTGATGAACATGGGCACGAGACCGCCTATGTGCCTGATACTCAAGGGGACAGCACCACGCACTCCAGCAGCTCACCTGTCGCCCATGGACCCGAAGGTGATGTGACTGCTCGTGGGCTCTCCACTGTCAATACTGATGAACATGGGCACCAGGCCATCCTCCGGGAAAATCTTTTCGATCTGCCTGATCACGTTCTCTGCCTGTGGAGGGAGGAAGGTGGGGAAGGGAAAGGGGGTTCGCCATGGGGAGAGAGAAGGAAGGGCAACATGGGCACGAGACCGTCCTCTGGGAAGATCTTTTCAATCTGCTTAATCACATTCTCAGCCTGTGGAGGGGAGTGAGGGAGGGAAGGGAACGGGGGTTTGCAATAGGGAGAGAGGAGGAGCAGCAACATGGGAACGAGACCGTCTTCTGGGAAGATTTCTCAGTCTGCCGAATCACATTCTCCGCCTGTGGAGGGAGGAAGGTGGGGAGGGGGAATGAGAGGAGCAACATGTGCATGAGACCATCCTCTGGAAATATTTTCTCAATCTACTTGATCACATTCTCTACCTGTGGCGGGCGGTGATTGTATTCTCTGAAGAAGGGGTGTGCGGTGGGAGGGTGGGAGTGGGAGGAGGGGCAACATAGGTACGAGACCATCCTCTGGAAAGATATTTTCAATCCGGCCTTATTACATGATTAGGGAGCGAGTTGCTGACCTTGATTGCGTATTTGGGGTTGCCTGTCCGCTGAGAGAGAGTCACAAACTCCAACCGCAGCGTCTTGATACCATCTCTTAGGCGCTTCAAAGCTCATTCTCCAAGTAACCAGGTTACCACCACACCACTCACCTTGATAGCGTATTTGGGGTCGCCTGTCCACTGAGAGAGAGTCACAAACTCCAGCTGGAATGTGTGTCGGTATTGATTATCAGGCGCCTCAGAGCTCGTCAATATTCCCAGGTTACCAGGTTACATAGCCACTGAACTGACCTTGATTGCGTATTTGGGGTCGCCTGTCCGCTGAGAGAGAGTCACAAACTCCAGCTGGAGCGTGCCGAGATCCGCCAGCACTGCCGATCCCTGTGGTGATGGGAGAAGTAGAGGTTGGCATTGAGTGCACAAGACACACACACACACAATCACATGCACAAACACACACACAAACTCCAGCTGGAGCGTGCCGAGATCCGCCAGCACTGCCGATCCCTGTGGTGATGGGAGAAGTAGAGGTTGGCATTGAATGCACAAGACACACACACACAATCACATGCACAAACACACACACAAACTCCAGCTGGAGCGTGCCGAGATCCGCCAGCACTGCCGATCCCTGTGGTGATGGGAGAAGTAGAGGTTGGCATTGAGTGCACAAGACACACACACCACAATCACATGCACAAACACACACACAAACTCCAGCTGGAGCATGCCGAGATCCGCCAGCACTGCCGATCCCTGTGGTGATGGGAGAAGTAGAGGTTGGCATTGAGCGCACAAGACACACACACACACACACAATCACATGCACAAACACACACACAAACTCCAGCTGGAGCGTGCCGAGATCCACTAGCACTGCCGATCCCTGTGGTGATGGGAGGAAGGGTTTAAGACGAGATAGACAACCAAAACCAGGTGACGTGCATAGAAGTGGAGTGCTTCTTCCAGATCCGAAGGAACACACGTGGACATCGAGAGAAGCTACAGCTTACCCCAGTCCAGCCAGGCGCGTTCCCTCCTCCAGAGGCCAGATCGACATAGGCAAAGGGAATCCCAGTGGGGGTGTTGAATGCTGGTAGCAGCCGATCTCCGAAGAATGCAAGCAAGGAAGACATGAAGGACGGGAAGCAGCTTACCCCGGTCCAGCCAGGCGCGTTCCCTCCTCCAGAGGCCAGATCGACATAGGCAAATGGGATGCCAGTAGGGGTGTTGAATGCGGGCAGGAGTCGGTCTCCCAGCTCCCTGGCCTTCTCCAAGAATACTTTCTCGCCGGACAGGTCGTACGCTGCTAGCAGCCCGCCCAGCATTCTGTGGGGATTGGGGGAGCACCAACAATGGGTCGGGTGAACATTGGTCTCCTACCTCCCTCACCTTGTCTAAGAAGACCTTTTCCCCCGACAGGTCGTATGCCGCAAGCAGCCCGCCCAGCATTCTGTAGGGATTGGGGGAACACTAACAATGGGTCGGGTGAACATTGGTCTCCTACCTCCCTCGCCTTGTCTAAGACGACCTTCTTCCCCGACAGGTCGTATGCCGCAAGCAGCCCACCCAGGATTCTGCAGGGGATGCGGGGAAGCGGGGAGACGGAAGTGGGCCAGAAGGGACGGAGAGTTAGACTGGTCCCCCAGCTCCCTCGGCTTGTCCAAGAAGGCCTTTTCTTTTCCCCTGACAGGTCGTACGCTGCTAGCAGCCCGCCCAGAATCCTGTCGGGATTGGGGGAACAGCAACAGTGAGTCGGGTGAAAAGTGGTCCCCCAGCTCCCTCGCCTTCTCCAAGAAGACCTTTCTTTTCCCTGTGACAGGTCGTGCGCTGCTGGCAGCCCGCCCAGCAAACTGTGAGGATCGGGGGGACAGGGGAGAAGTGGTCGCAGGAGGGATGGGGGAAATGACAAAGAAGGAAAACGAGGAAAGCCGGAAAGGGCAGCGAGAAAGGTCGTATGCTGCTGGAAAAAAAGAAAAGAAAAGGGAAACGGTGGGAAGAAATACAGGAGATAAGGGGGAGTGGACGAGGCTGGTAAAGGGATGCAGAAAAAGGAGCAGCCAAATTGTGGTTAAGGGAGGGTGCGCATTGCATTGCATACCGGATGGTTGTTTCAAAGACGCTGACGCTGGAGTGCCGGTTGAAATTGAGGGACTCGCCCACCCACCTGCAGCAACAGAGGCGCACACACAACACACACACAGATCAGGAGGGAGAAGTCAACTCGCGCCAGCTAGAGGCTTCAGAAAAGCAACGTAGGCAGGAGACGATTTAGGAGTTGGGGATTTGGGTTCAAGCTTGCTTTGCATTTCTGAACTCGTCTATGAGCCCCATCAGGAGGAGCATGTCACAGCCATGCCACACCATCTCGCCGACCATCTCGCCCCAGCTATGTCACACCCATACACCTGGAGCCTGACCTGACTGTCCTACTGATATAGTTAACCCGCGATCGACCTGCTCTGAATCCCTCAAAGTTGTTCCACAAGGTCTTGCTGCCCCCGGCAGCACTGCTTCAGCACCAAAGTTCCTGCCCCGACGTGCCCCACTACCAATGAGCATCCCCTTGGCCGGCCTAACCCCGAAACCCTGTGAGCGTGTCCAGCGGGTCGACAACGGCCGCTTCCAGCACTGCCACAGCAGCACATGCCCAACACATCAACCTACCCTGCAGCCTGTGAACCTGCTTTTGAGCGTCTCTGAACTCGTCCTTGAGCCCCATGAGTTGGAGCGTGTCCAGCGAATCCACGATCGTCACTTTTCAGCCCTGCTACAGCAGCGCATAGACCCTCCACTCCACCGACATGCCTCACACACCAATCTGCCCTGCCCCATCCTGCCCAACATAAACATACATACAGCTGCCATGTGCACGAACTTTTGCGCGTCTCTGAACTCGTCCTTGAGCCCCATCCAGTGAGTCAATGATGGTCGCCCCCCAGCACATGCTCAACCCAGCACATGCTCAACCCAGCACATCAGCCTACCCTACAACCTGTGAACGCACTTCTGAGCGTCTCTGAACTCGTCCTTGAGCCCCATGAGGAGGAGCATGTCCAGCGAGTCAACGATCGTTGCTTGCTTCCAGCACTGCTACAGGAACATCACATGGTCACGCCCTCTAACCATAGACCAGCTTACTTTTGCGCGTCTCTGAACTCGTCCTTGAGCCCCATGAGGAAGAGCGAGTCCAGCGAGTCAACGATGGTTGCTCCCCAGCAATGCTAGCTACAGCAAAAACCTAAATCCGCCAACCTGCCCCGCATAACCAACGTACTTTTGCGCGTCTCTGAAACTCGTCCTTGAGCCCCATGAGGAAGAGCGAGTCCAGCGAGTCAACGATGGTCGCCTCGCCCGCCAGCACTGCTATAGCACAACATGGCCCCATATGGGCATGAGGGCCTCAACAACCTGCCCTGCACAACTTACGGCTGGCCTGTGAACGTACTTTTGCGCGTCTCTAAACTCGTCCTTAAGCCCCATGAGAAACAGAGTGTCCAGCCAGCATTGGTACAATAGAAAAAAAAACCCTAAACCCGCCAATTTGCCCTGCAAGAGCCAGTATATGGCTGGCCCGTGAACGTACTTTTGCGCATCTCTGAACTCGTCCTTCAGTCCCATGAGAAACAGAGTGTCCAGTGAGTCCACGATCGTCGCCCCCATGCCTCCGAAGTTATTGGACGGGGTCTTACTGCGAGGCTGGCAGGAAAAACGGGGAGGATGAGAGCATGGTGGGGTTTTGGAAACAAGTCGGTGGGAAACGAGTCAATGATCGTTGCTCCCATGCCTCCAAAGTTGTTGGACGGGGTCTTACTGCGAGGCAGGTGGGTGGGGGAAGGACGGGTGGAGCGTGGAGGGGAGATGGGAGCAAGACGAGTGGAATACGAGCAAATATTTCAGTCTCATGAGGAAGAGCGTGTCCAGCGAGTCAACAATCGTTGCTCCCATGCCTCCAAAGTTGTTCGACGGGGTCTTACTGCGCGGCTGGCAGGTGTGAAGGGTGGGTGGAGAGTGGATGGAGGGTGGGGAGCAAGACGAACGGCGTGAGGAGAGGGAATGAGCAGGTGGAAAACGAATCAACCCCATGCCTCCAAAGTTGTTGGGCGGGGCCTTACTGTGTGGCTGGTGGAAAATGGGGGGAGGATGAGAGGGTGGTGTGGTGGGGTGCAATTTTGTACCTCTCTCTCCATGCATGCAACAACTTTTGAGGCACATCAAAATGCGTACTTTTTGTACCTCACTCTCCATGCATGCAACATCCCCTGTTTGATCAGCTTTTAAGGCGACACGTGTTGAGCCCACCCGAAATTACCCACAGGCACCTCGCCTTCATACCTGGAATCCCCTTCTCACCTGGAGTTTCCTTCTCAAGCAGCGTTCCTACTCACCTGGAACTCATCAGACCCCCACGCGTACTTCTTGTACCCCCTCCACGCATGCAGCATCCCCTGCTTGATCGCCTCTCAAGGTGGCTTTTCGGTCGAACCAAACCACACCCTGCAAGCACTTCGCCTCCCCAGCTGTAATCCCCTTCTCACCTGGAGCTCATCAGACCCCCACGCGTACTTCTTGTACCCTCTCCACGCATGCAGCATCCCCTGCTTGATCGACTCTCTCCTCCTCTCCGTCTCATCCTGCCCTCTCAACAACACCCCCTGCCCCTGCCTCTGCCCCTGCCCCTGTCCCTGCGTCTGTTTCTCTGCCGCTCGTTGCTCAGCCACCGATACCTCCTTCCTCTGCTCACTCTGCAACTGCTCTCCCCCTGCTTCCGTCACCCCGCCTGCTCTCACTCCTCCTCCCCCCCCTCCGTTTTTGCCACCCCCCGCTACAGCCACATCATCCTCTAAATCCGCATCCTCAAGCGGGTCTGTATCAGCTGCCTTCCCCTCGTTACTGTCACCTTCCCCGCCTCCCAGCCCATCGTCGTCCAGCTTCCCCAGTCTCTGCAGCTCTGACAGCGCCTTCTGTTCCACATCCGCGCTATGAGCATCCCCAGTAACAGGATCCCTTATAATAGCATCCCCAGTATACGCTTGCCCAGCCTGCTCGCCTCCTCTCAGCATCCCCCCTGTAGCACCCGCCTGAACGATCTTTTCTAGAGGAAGGAGCTTTCTCGCTTGCACTTTGCTAGTCGCACGTGCTGCATTTACACTTATCCCACCTCCGCCACCGCCGCCACCACCCCCTCCCCCTCCTACACCGAGAATAAGAGGGTTTTTCTTAACAGACGCGGCTTTGCCTCCTGCCTGGGCGTCAGAAACGCTGCCGGTCAAGCGAGCCTTCTCCAGCTGGGATGGGAGCAAGAGCAAGGGAGGGCACACGCCAGAAACAGCAGGAGGAGACAGGACACGTAGGGAAAGCCAGGAGGCTATGATTTATAAGCCTTTGCTTCCTGCCTGGGCAGCGCATAAGAAACGCTGCCAGTCAGGCGAGCCTGCTGCAGCTGAGATGGGACCAAGAGCAAGGGAGGGCACACGCCAGAAACAGCAGGAGGAGACAAACGCTGGGCTGCGCATAAAAAACGCTGCCAGTCAGGCGAGCCTGCTGCAGCTGAGATCGGATCAGGTCATGTGAACAGGAAACGGCATTGAGAAAGTGCGGTTCACAGCAACGTAACAGCGGCGGAACAGAACACAGAGGATAACACTTCATACCTCAACAACCAGGTGACTCTTCTCGACTTCGAGACTATCCAGCTGCGTCGCGAGTTCCTGCAGAAGACACGGAGCAAAACGAGAGGGCAGTTAATGCTACTGACTGCGGGACCACGAAAGAAGTAAGCTGCCGTGTGAGGATTGAGCTTCGTTTTGACCACATGAGGTTTGGACTCGTCGATTAGTTAGCATGAAGGCATAGAGCGGTAAGACTGGTTTGGTTGGTCGGAACCACAAATCGTGGATCCCCGTCGAATAACATTAGCGCGTGCGAGTTTTGAATCACGGATAAGCCAAAATCAGGAAGTAGCCTGAACTTTGACTGGGCAAACGAAGGTTTACAGTGAAACCGCTTGATCTCCGAAGCTTAAATTTGAATTTCTCAAGTTGAGTCTGTCCATCAAGGGTGGCATGAGCTTGATACTTTCGCATTTTGAGATTACGAAAGAGCATGATTCCGATGTCACGGAAAATCGTCAGACATCATAAAACTCGCAGGAAAAAAGGCAGCCAACCTCAATCCCCTTCGCAACACCCAAGCGACGGCCAGCTTACCTCAATTCCCTTCGCAACTCGCAAGAAACGGCCATCTTGCTTCAATTCCTTTCGCAACTCGCAGGAAACGGCCAGCTTACCTCATTCCTTCGGCTTACCTCGGAGTTCTTTCGGCCTGTCGTTGGCGATCCATGACGACTCAAAGGACGATCCCGACGACGAGCAGAGTGAGCAGCCCTAGTCGCCGGGGTCGCCGGATGTAGTACGACACGGTCGCAGATACTTGAACCTGCTGGACGACGAACTTGACGAGGGTCTGCGACCCATCGTGCGATATTACGGTAATTCGTCAACAGACGCTCCTTGATCTCAGAAATTCGGGGACTGAGCGGTTCGTGACGCGGAGAATGTCAATGGACGGTGCAGATCAGCGGCGATCCGCGAACTTGTTCCTACTTTGAGCACCCTACTAGCTGAAGGGAACCTCGCAGCTTCGGCGGACGTAATACACGAACATCCAGACTCGGTCGCCGGGGGACAGAGGTGGCTCAGTCCAATGACAGGTGGTATCAGTCGAACGACAGAGGTACTGAACGCTCGAGGTGTTCAGGAAATTAAGGAGCAACACTCTCCCCGTTGACGAGGAGAGTCACGAGGAAACGCAGCGGAGCGAGTCGAGGAGGTGCCTGGTAACTGATAGAGTTCACTGACATACCCCAGTTCTCCAAGAGCAGAACTGGCCGAGGTTCACATCTCACTTGCAGAAACACTGATGAGATCTGTGTTTTGGTCAGGCTTTGGTGTTGAGGAAATCGAGGATGCGGTTGGGTGGTCGGTTCGTTTGTCCCGCCCTCGAGAATGCCGGAACGGGCAGAAGCACTTGGTTGCCTCACAAGCATTATGTACCGTGCAGCACCGGAATTCGCTGCTTCTGGCAAGGGATGAAACCAGAGCTTGATCGTAAAAAATGTTGTGGATTTGCCCTATGAAAGTTTTCCTTTTGCTTGTACCTACCCGCACCAGCAGAAGCTTTCTGGTTACCAAGTTTTGGCGGGATTGTCAGACCAGAGTGATTCTTGCCTTGCGAAGAGGTTTGGCGCGAAAAACATATCAACTCGTCAGGCAGACAGGGGCACCCACAGCCATAGCAGTGTGGTGGGAGATAGATGTGCCCTTGGCTGAAACAAGACAGCTGGCGAATCGCAGAGTTCCCGGTTACCAGCGAAGCAATTGGTGACGAAAAAACAAATCATCGTGAATTCCAATCTTAATTGTTTTTGCTGGTCTACTTCAGCTGCTGTTGCTTTCCCCGCACATAACATCCATGGCGACCCACTCATGATTCTGCGATGCTGAAGAGGAGCACATTCTCAGGCGTTGGAATAATGTTTCTGCGAGTCTGCTTGACGACGGCGAATTAGGACATGTTCGCGACCTCCAATCAATTTTAGGAGTCGAAACCCCTCCTACGGATCCTGCATTTACAAGGCACATTACTATTGACCAGTTCCAAACGTTTCGTACTTTCGCTGGATCCAATAGTTTTCAGTCACCCATTATCATTCCGTCAAATCGTCATTATCGCTGATCTCTCGTCATGGACTCCTCCGGGAATCTCCGTCAACGAAGGAGATCCGAAGCCCAAGGAACCTCGTCAGGCACCCAGCCTGTACCCTCCTCCTCAGAATCCTTGCAGCAACCAGTGAAGAAGCAGCAGAAGAGCCTACTTATTTCCTGGCGAGCCGCATTCTTTTTCCTCCTGATCTCACGGTCAGTAATCGTATTTCAGAATCTAGCATTTCTCGGTTGCTTGGTTACATGTGTACATTTCCCTGAATCCGCATTTCGTCACGCTTTGCTGTTTTAACAGCAGGTCAATAGCGGAGCTTTCAACACCATCCACGACTGCGACGAGGCGTTCAAGTACTGGGAGCCTTTTGTTGCCCCCCCCCCCCCTTGTTTTTCTCTCACAAATTGCCAATGTGCAGGTCAATAAGCGCAGCGGTGAACATCATCCACGACTGCGACGAGACTTTCAACTACTGGAGCCTCTGCACTACCTCCTGCACGAATCCGGGTTCCAGACATGGGAATACAGGTGGGTGCTCCTTTCTTGCTGCTCCCATGTCTTCACAATCTAGGGATTCTCTAGGAATTCTCTTGAGAGACGTTCAACTACTGGGAGCCTCTGCACTACCTCCTGCACGAATTCGGGTTCCAGACATGGGAATACAGGTGGGCGCTCCTTCCTTGCTGCTCCCATGTCTTCACAATCTAGGGATTCTCTAGGAATTCTCTTGAGAGACGTTCAGCTACTGGGAGCCTCTGCACTACCTCCTGCACGAGTCCGGGTTCCAGACATGGGAATACAGGTGCAGTACTCTTTCACGCTCTTTGCCCTTGTTGCAACATACACCCTCAAAAACCACATGCTTTCTGACCTCTGCTCCATTGTCTTTCCCCTTCTCCTTATTATCCTATCCCAACAGTTCTGCGTTCACCCTTCGATCCTACCTTTACCTCTTTCACCACGCCCTTGCTGCCGTGTCAGTCACACTACACCTCAGCAGTCACTGCAGGCGCCTTTGAAACCTTTCCATTTCTGTCTCTCTTTTCCCTCTCTCTCTCCTCGCTATCCTATTGACCCAACAGCTCTGCATTCGCCCTTCGCTCCTACCTCTACCTCTTCTTTCACGCCCTCATCGCCCTGCCAGTCACTCTCTTTTTTGGCAACGGTACGGGTAAGGTGAGCAAAGAACCCTGATAGCTGTTGTTAGGGTGAGGGAGGTAAGGGACCAGATGGGTGTAAGATGAGCTAAGAGCGCTGATAAGTGGCAACTTATGCCCTACATCAAGCAATGTGATGCCTGATTTATAATTTCTTGTGCTTGGGTTCGCTTTTGAACACCTGTATAAGCCGTTGCCTTTCATTTGCTTCGTTTCTGATGGCAGGTTGCCCCCCTCATCCACGTTCTCACCTCCCCGTCATCCTTCTCTTCTCAATCCCTACCCTCATCCCTGTTCCTACCATCCCCACCTCAGTTAACGCCTTCTACACTGTCCGCCTGGCCCTGGCTGTTCCCTCTGCTGCATCAGAGGCATCTCTGCTCGTGGCTGTGGCTGCTGCCCTTCACAAGGCCACTCAGGCCCCTTCCCTACCCTCCTTCCTCCCCATAACCTCCCTTCCTACCTTCCCCACCTCAGTTAACGCCTTCTATGCTGTTCGCCTGGCCCTGGCTGTTCTCTCTGCCGCTTCAGAGGCATCTCTGCCCGTGGCTGTTACTGCTGCCCTTCACAAGCCCACTCAGGCTTCTGTTCTCTCCTCCTGCCCCCTTCCCGTCACTCCTTTGTACTCTTCCCATCGCAGGCTAACGCCTTCTACACTGTCCGCCTGGCCCTGGCTGTTCTCTCTGCTGCCTCAGAGGCATCTCTACTCGTAGCCGTTGCAACAGCCCTTCACAAGGCCACCAGTGCTGGCAGTGCCAGTAGCAGCAGCAGTGGAACGAGGGAAGATAAGGAGAAAGGGAAGGAGGAGGAGAAGGAGAAGGCGAAGCGAGAGAGGGCGGTCCCAGCAGGGATTGGGGAGCGAGTGGGTGTGTGCGGGTTGCTGCTCCTCTGCTTCTGCTCTGGCAACTTTCTCGCCTCCACAAGTGAGTGATGCTTCTTCCTCAGCACTCACGTGTGGAGTGCTGAGGGTGTTCACCTCTCAACTCCTGCTGCTCCTCTGCTTCTGCTCTGGCAACTTTCTCGCATCCACAAGTGATTGTGGTTATGACTTATATTCGCTCGCTCCCTCCTGTCACACTCACCCCTTGACTCCTGCTGCTCCTCTGCTTCTGCTTTGGAAACTTTCTCGTGTCCACAAGTGAGTGGTGGTTACAACCTTTACTCGCTAGCTCCCCCCTATCAAGCACTTTCCCCCTCCCCCTCCATTAATCCATGTTCTTCTGCAGCACCTTCAGCGTGTACACAATTGCCTGAGCCAGGTTTAGTAATTCTATACAGAGTCTTTTGAGTCGACTCAAAAGTCAACTGAGCCAGGTTTAGTAATTCTATACAGAGTCTCTTCCCGTACGTGCCTGCCCTGCCCTGCCTGCCCTCACTCACTCCCCTCGCCTTTATGCAGCCATCCTCCCCGGCACTTTCAGCATGCATGCAATCACCTCGGCCACGTCCCTTGATATGACACACATAGCCTGTCTCCCCTTCTCCTATTCCGTCCTCCTCCTTCCCCAGCCTTCCTCCCCAGCACTTTCAGCATGTATGCAATCACGTGGGCCACGTCTCTGACCATCCAACGCAGACCCGCAGCAGCAACAGCGGCAGCAGCAGCAGCAGCGCGTTCAACGCACATGTATCCCCTCATTTTGTGCAATACTTTTTCCCTTCCCCAGCCTTCCTCCCCAGCACTTTCAGCATGTATGCAATCACGTGGGCCACGTCTCTGACCATCCAAGGCCGCCCCGCAGCAGCACAGCGGCAGCAGCAGCAGGCGTGCTGCTGGGGTGGCCCTTTGCAGGCCTGGCAGCCCTGCCGCTGGTGCTGCAGCGGGATGATCACTGGTGGTTTTGTGAAGGTCGTTGCATCCGGTGCAATCACCACTGTACTCGTCTCAGTAAGTGGGTTCGAGATCATTGCTTCTGGTGCTGCTGGGGTGGCCCTTTGCGGGCCTGGCAGCCCTGCCGCTGGTGCTGCACGGGATGATCACTGGAGCCTTTGTGAAGGTGGTCGTGTCTGGTGCTCTCACCACTCTTCTCGTCTTAGTAAGTGGGTACCGGCTGATCGAGTGAGTGACAAAACAGGCACCCCACACAGCAGCAGCAGTGGCGGCAGCAGCAGCAGGCGTGCTGCTTGGGTGGCAGCCTTGCCTCTGGTGCTGCACCGAATGATTTGTGGTGGATTTGTGATGGTCGTTGTCTCTGGTGCTCTCACCACTCTCCTCGTCTCAGTCAGTGGGTACCGGCTGATTGAGTGAGCCATTGGCCAGTACTGTACTCCTATCAGAGTAGCAGCTTTTGAGATAATAATAATAATAATAATAATAAAAAAAAAAAAAAACGACTCAGATATGGCCAGTGCTGTACTCCTACAAGAGCAGCAGCAGGCGCGGAGGGGCCACTCTTCTTGAGAATTCTCAAAAAACACGGAGGGGCCACTCTTCTACCTCCGCAGTGGCCTCAACACTCGCCCTCCCCCTCGCACTCATTGTCCCTCCCTCTCCCCTTCACTCCCTCCCTCCCTCCCTCCCGCCCTCCCTCCCGCCCTCCCTCCCTCCCGCCCTCCCTCCCTCCCTCCCTCCCTCCCTCACTCTCTCCCTCCCTGCCCCCTCCCCCTGCTCCTGTCCAGGCCCTCTCCCTGTGTTTCGATCGCCTGTACTACGGCCCGTGGACCTCCTCTGTGTTCAACCTAATCCGCTATAACGTGTTTGGAGGGGGGGACGGTGTGGACTCGGCGGCACTCTACCTCCGCAACGGCCTCAACAACTTTCTCCCTCGCCCTCCCCCTTGCGCTCATCCTCCCTCTGCTGCTGCCTCCCTCCTTCCCCTCCCCCGACTCACTCCCCCCCTCCCTCCCTCCACTCTCTCCTCTTGTACCCATCCAGGCCCTCTCTCTGTGTTTCGATCGCCTGTACTACGGCCAGTGGACCTCCTCTGTGTTCAACCTAATCCGCTACAAACGTGTTTGGAGCGGGGGACGGTGCGGGCAGCACGCTGTACGGAGTGGAGGAGCCACTCTTCTACCTCCGCAACGGCCTCAACAACTTCACCCTCGCCCTCCCCCTCGTGCTGCTCCCTCCCTCCCTCCACTCCCTCCCCCTGTCCTCCAGGCCCTCTCTCTGTGTTGTGACTGCCTGTACTACGGTCAATGGACCTTCTCCATTCTCAACCTAGTGCATTACAACGTGCTGGGAGGGGGGGACGGAGCCGGCAGCAGGAGCAGCAGCACGCTGTACGGAGTGGAGGGGCGGCTCTTCTACCTCCGCAACGGCCTCAACAACTTCACCCTCGCCCTCCCCCTTTGTGCTGCCCGCTCCCTCTCTCTCTCCCTCCTCTCTCCCTCTTTGTCCCATGCAGGCACTCTCTCTGTGTTTCGATCGCCAGTGGACCTCCTCAGAGAGAGAGAGCACAGAGGAGGTCCACTCTCTCTGTATTATGGCCAGTGGACCTCCTCTGTGCTCAACCTCGTGCGGTACAATGTGTTTGGAGGAGGAGACGGTGCGGGGCGGGGAGCACGCTGTATGGAGTGGAAAGCCCCCTCTTCTATTTTTGAGGCGCCTCAAAAATTGAGGCGCTTTTTGAGGCGCCTCAAAAGACGGTGCGGGGAGCACGCTGTATGGAGTGGAAAGCCCCCTCTTCTACCTCCGCAACACTCTCAACAACTCTCCCTCGCCCTCCCCCTCGTGCTGCTCCCTCCACTCCCTCCCTCCCTCTACCTGTCCAGGGCCTTTCCCTGTGTTTTGACCGTCTTTATTACGGCCAATGGACCTCCTCTGTGTTCAACCTAATCCGCTACAACGTGTTTGGAGGGGGGGACGGTGCCGGGAGCACTCTGTACGGCGTGGAGGGTCCCCTCTTCTACCTCCGCAACGGCCTCAACAACTTTTCTCTCGCCCTCCCCCTCGGGCTCATCCTCCCACTGCTGCTGCTGATCGCGTGCTTTGCGTCGTCGCCGTTTCGCCGGCAAGGGAGGGGTGGAAATGGAGGGGTGGAGAGGGGTGGGAAGGGGTTTGTGGGGTGGAAAGAGGTGGTGGCGCTGCTGCTGCTGCCTGTGGTCATCTGGGTTGGATTCATGTCCCTTCAGCCACACAAGGAGGAGCGGTGAGTATTCTAAATGACCGTCCTTTATCCATTTGAGGAACGGTGAGTATTCTCAAGCACGCACTTTGTCAACAGGCACCTACCATCACCCCCATTCTTTACCCCTACCTACCTACCTCCCCTCATCTGCCTGCCTGCATTGAATCTGTACCATCCGTCCTACCTTCCGCCCCCGAATCCCTCCATGTTCCTCTATCTCATCTACGCACTTTACTCAACGCTGTTTGTGCCACCTTCAACATCCACCCATCGCTAGCCTCCCCCTCCCTCCCGCACATCTCCCTCAGGTTCCTCTACCTACCCCATCTATGTGCTCATCCCTGTCGCTGCTGCCATCACCATCACCATTACCCTCTTCATCATTTCTTCTTCGCACAGATCACCTGGGCCTACTCCCTATCTCCCCACCCTCCCTTTTTGTCCTCCCCCACATCCCTCCCAGGTTCCTCTACCCCATCTATGCGCTCATCCCTGTCGCTGCTGCCACCATCACCATCACCATCACCATCACCCCATACCTTGCCTTGCCTCCCCTCCCTCCCGCACATCTCTCCCAGGTTCCTCTACCCCATCTATGCCCTCATCCCTGTTGCTGATGCCACCACCATCATCCCCTATCCCATTCATTTTCTCCTGCACCACCTGCCTCTACTCCCCTATCATTTCCACCTCCCCTCCCGCACATCTCCCTCAGGTTCCTCTACCCCATCTATGCGCTCATCCCTGTCACTGCTGCCATCGCCATCACCATCATCCCCTACCTCCCTCCCGTCATTGATCCCCCTGCCTCCGCCTTTGCTGATCCTTGTTCTCTACGCCTCTTCTCTACTATCCACACCCCGTAACCCTTCCATACCTCCCTTCCAGGTTCCTCTACCCCATCTACGCTCTCATCCCAGTTGCTGCTGCCATCGCCATCACCATCATCCCCTACCTCATTCCCACGACTCTCCAAGGACTTCCAGACCAACCGTCCCTGCTCTTCTCGGTACGTTCTTCAATCACCACTTGCACCAGCACCAGCAGCACCAGCATCGGCAGCACCACCATCACCATCATCCCCTACCTCATTCCCACAACTCTCGAAGGGCCTCGCGATCAACCGTCCCTTCCTTTCACGGTATGCTAGCCTATCACCACTAGCAGCACCAGCAGCACCAGCATCACCAGCATCACCCGCACCACCATCACCACCATCCCCTACCTCCTTCCCACGACTCTCCAAGGGCCTCCAGACTGACCATCCCTCCTCTTCTCGGTACGCTGTTCCGACTGCTGTTGTGTCCCTGCCCATCCCATCCATTCCTCCCTCGTTCTGTTGTGCTGCCTTCATCTCATCATCTCTCTCTCCTACGCTCTCTCCACTGCCCTGCTTCCTTCCTAATGCATGTGTAGCAGATGGGATGATCCCTTCCTCGCCTCGCACTCCGTTCCCATCCTTTCTTACCTTCCCATTCTCTCAAGTCTTCGCCCCCCCTCCTCTGTCCCCCTCCTCTCCCCTTCTTTCCACTCCCAGGCAGCCAAGTGGGTGCGCCCGGACCTTCTCACTCTCATTCTCACCTGTGTTGCAGATGACGTGTCTTGCGTCCTGGACGCAGTGCGTCTAGACGCTGCATCCAGGACGCATAACACATTTTTCTGCCTTTTTAGACGCAGGTACAGACGCAAGCCCGGGCAGGCAAAAAAGGTTCGGGCAGGCCCAAAAAAACCCCAATGGGGCAGGGGGGGGGGGGGGGAATGGAGATAATTCACATTCCAACCAGATTTTTTCCTGTACCAATATTTTTTCCCATACAAAAATTTCACCAAGTCACATACATCACATCACATGTGGTCAATTACTATTGTCATCAACATGCATGAAGCATACTTAACTATTACTATTATAGCAACGCTATCACTCATCCTCCTCCTCGCCCTCCTCCTGCTCGTCCTCGTGGTCCCACTCATCGTGACACACGTCGTCCTCGTTCACCTCCACCTCCCCATCCTCCTCCAACTTGTACCAATTGGGGAGGGGAAGGTGGGAATGTTCCCCTCCACCACCCCCTCCTTCCTTCCCGTCCCCACACTACGCTCTGCACTAGCAGCATTGGCGGAAGTTGTGCACAACAGTCCAGTTGTGCGCAACGTAGACTAGGTCGCGCACCTTCTCCGACCCGAGCCGGTTCCCAAACAGACCAGTTCTGCTCGCACGGGGCGGCGGAAACGGGCTGGGACAGCGGACGACGCGCAACACGCGCCAGGTCGGCATATTCCCAGCCGTTATACTGCCACCACACCTTCACATCCCCCTTCCCGTCCTGCAGCGCCTTCCGCCCCTTTATTGCGGTCTCCGTCCCGAAGCACCTCGTGCCGTTGATGTAAGTTAGCATCCCCTCCTCCAGCAACTTGCGCTGTCCCTTCCTGGACTTCTTCCGGTACTTTTTGGTGAAGGCCGTCTGGCGGGTAAGCCATTCCCGCATCACCCAAGTGCACTCAACGTCCTCCAGGGAAATCCCCTCCTCCCGGTTGGCCGGGTTCGAAATTCGGCCTGCCATGTGAAGGGGGCATGCCAGGCTCTCGTCCCAACGCCTCCTCAAATGCTCCCGCACCCCCTCCTTATCCGCCGCCTTCAACTTACAGTCCTTCCCAGCCAGCAGCGAATGCAACTCCTCCGTCAGCTACAGCATGATGTCGTACAACGAGCCCACCATCCCCTTCGCCGCTGAGTCCGTCCTCCGCATCACCAGGTACGGCAGTTCCATCAACTTCACAAAGAACTCCGCCTTCTTCCACCACGCTGCATCCATCACCGACGCCTCGAACCCCACACCGATCGTCTTTTTCCCCCTTTTCACCGCCGAATCCTTGTGCGTAACCATCTGCGTCAGCTGCGAGCGAAGGGCCAACAGACGAGACGCTGCGATGAAGTTCGTCCCAAAGCGCGTCTCCGCCGGGCGCAACACCTGCAGCACCTTCTCGCCGTGCAGCTTGGGACTCCGCAAGAAGACGCGCGTCCACAAGTGCTTCCGCAAGAACGATATCATGTCGTCTGCCGTGCCGACGACATCCTGCGCCCACCCCATCGTCCTGATATCCTCCATCAGCAAGTCCAACACGCGAGTGGGGCAGGGGATGAGCTCGATGTGAGGATAATCCTTCCGCAGCAGCTTGCAGGCTTTTTTGTAGTTGCTACCTCCGTCCATGCAAAGCGCGATGGCGTACTCCAGCCCGACCCTCTTGATGATCGGCCGCAAGATGGCGGCAATGAAGCGGCCAATTGTCTTCTCCGCCTTACAGTCGACCACCTCTGTGAAAACAGCTCCAGCGTCGTTCACGCAAATGATGTTCATCTGCGCGCGCCCGCTTTTGTCCGTCATCATGTCACCGGCGATCGTCACGCCCATCTGCTGCCACGTCTTGGTAACGGGCTCCAAAGCCTTTTCAATCTGTTGTTTACACTCCAACAACCCCACGCCCCCGACGAACGTGCGCTTGGGGGGGCCATACCTAGTTCCGGCCTCGGCGACTGCGCGTAGCATGTTGAGGAAGAGGGGGTGCTCGCACTGACGCTCTGCTGTGCGCGTCCCCGCGAGGTAGAGGACAACCGCAGCGTCGGTCTTACGTTCCGGCGCAATCCCCCCCTCGCCATAGAAATCGTCCATCCGCCCGCGTTTCCCAGAGCCGATCACTACGGCGACCGCCGCCACCATCGCCTTCGCCTTTTTCTTTTTCACCGAAATCTTCCCCTCCTTCATGTCCCGAATCTCATTCAAAATGTTCTTCGGAACCTTCGCACACACTACCCCAGCCTCACGTCGCACGTTCGGATCGGTCCATTCGGCGAGGCACTGCGGGCTCCGGCTACTACTAAAGGCAAATGTCTTGTGGCAAAAAAGGCACTCCACTTGCTCCCCCTTTTCTCAGGATCGGTAAAGTAGTAGTGCTTATAAATGGGGTGCTCGGGGAATCGCGACTTCTTCGCGCACATCTCCTTAGAAATGCATGAGGAGCTACCCTCGCCGACGACATCTTCATGCTTGGTAGCAGAGGAGGAGGAAGAACTAGGAGAAGCCATAATTTAGGTGAGGTAAGAACTAAAACCCTAAGGGTTTACCAAGGAGAATTGGGTTGAACTAAAGTGGAGGAGCACAAATGAACGGTTTGTGCTCCTATATCCTCTTGGTGGTTAACAACTTTGGTTGGGTTGAGTAGATGATGTGCGGTTGAGTAGGATGTGGCGCAAATTTGGGTAGGGGGGGGTTTCGTTTTAGGGTTGTGGGCTGTTTTTGACGGTCGAATTAGTTTGGGCGGGGGGGGATTTTGCGATTTTGACATTCGCGTCGAAATGGCGAATGTCAAATTCGCGCGGGGGGGAAAAAAAAAATCGATCAGCCCAAAAAAAAACTCCCCATGCGTCTTGCGTCTGAGAGTGCATCCTGCGTCCTGCGTCTAGACGCTGCGTCTAGACGCTGCGTCTTCTGCAACCCAGATTCTCACCCTCTCCTGTGCTCGCCTCACACCTTGGCCTCATGGTGCAGATGCAACAAATGGGGCTTACCCCTTCTTCCCCTCCCCTCCGATCCTCTCCCAATTCCTTGTCCCCCCTCCTGTGACCCTCCCCTCCACCTCTCGTTCCATTCACACAGGCAGCTAAATGTGTAATGGGTGCGCCCGGGCTTACCCGGCCTAATCATCGCTCTCTCCTACGCTCGCTCCACTGCTCTGCTCCGTTTCTGCCCCATCGTGCTGCTGGATCATCATTCCTCCCCTCCATTCCCCTCGCATTCCCTGGCTTCACCACTCGTTCCACTCACAGGCAGCCAAGTGGGTGCGCCCAGCCTTGCTCGGCCTCATCATCGCTCTCTCCTATGCTCGCTCTACTGCTCTGCTCCGCTTCTACTCCGCCCCCATGCACATTCTGGAGCACCTGCCGGCAGTAGATGAAGCGAATGAAGATGGTAAGTTCCTAGTGTCCCCCCACCTTTCCCACAACCGCAACTGTCACCCAACCCATCCTGAGATGAAAGGATCACATCTTTGCAGCAATTGCCATCCTTCCATTCCCCCCTTCTCCCACAACCCATTTCCCCCTCCTGGACCCAACCCCCCCTCCTCCTTTTTCTTCCCTCATTCCCCGCAGTGGTCACGGTGTGCTATGGCATGGAGTGGCATCGCTTCGCCACCTCCTTCCTCCTCCCATCCCCCCTCCACCGAGAGCCGCTTTCATCGACGATGGCTTTAAGGGCCTGCTGCCCATCCCCTTCAACCTTCCACCCATCCTTTCTCATAACCCCAGCTCTCACCCTACAACCCAGAGATGTGCTCCTTACACAGTTGCGGTTGCGATTCCCCCTCCTTCCATCTCCCCTCCACTTCCCCCCACGGCCCCACCCGCCCACCCCTCCCCTCCCTTCCCTCATTCCCCGCAGTGGTCACGGTGTGCTATGGCATGGAGTGGCATCGCTTCCCCACCTCCTTCCTCCTCCCCTCGCCCCTCCACCGAGCTGCCTTCATCGACGATGGCTTTAAGTGCATGCTGCCCATCCCCCACAGTTTTCACCCAAATTTCCCTCCACCCCACCGTGTCCTTCACCCACGTTTTTCCTTTATGTGCCCCCCACCCTTCCACTCCCCCACCCACCCGTTCTTACAGTGGTCACGGTGTGTTATGGCATGGAGTGGCATCGCTTCCCCACCTCCTTCCTCCTCCCCTCGCCCCTCCACCGAGCTGCTTTTATCGATGATGGCTTTAAGGGCCTGCTGCCCATCCCTTTTGACCCGGAACAAGGCGGCACGGAGTCTGCTCCCTCGTACTTCAACGACAAAAACCAAGCCACACCCGAGCAATTCGTGAGTTGGT